CTTGGCCTGAAATTTCATCCAGCCTCGCCTCCATAAAGCAGGTGACAGGTTAGCTGGGTTTGGTGGCACATGCCTATGATCCCAGCTATTTGGGAGGCTGAGGCAGGAGAATCATAAGTTCAAGGCCAGCCTAGGGAACTCAGTGAGACCTTGACTCCAAAAGGGCCAAGAATGTAACTTAGTAGTGAGTGCTTGCCTAGCATGTACAAAGGCCCTGGGTTCAGCCCCCAGTACCAAAAAATAAAAATAAAAAATACAAGCAGGTGATAGGGCCCCTGGCAGGACCCCATGGGCAGGTGAGGGTCCTGTCTTCCAGAATGGATCTTGAGATGGCAGAGTGGGGGAAGGGCCTATCCTATGGGCCTCTCTGTGCCCAGCCAGCTTGGTACCACCCTGGTCCCCTCCCTGCTGCAAGCATCAGCCACTGGGGTGACTACTGGGGACCAGTTCCAGGCCCACAAAGGGTACAAAGCCCCTTCCCCAATGGCACAGAGCAGTGGGGGCACCCAGGGCAGAATGCTCCCTGCTCCCTGGGGTTGGATTGCCACCTTTGACCTGTCAGGAGGAGGGAGAAAGGACTTCCCGTCACCCAGCCCCTGCCTGGGATCAAGGGCCACTGCAGCACCCGCCACCCCCTGGGGAAGGGACGCTTGTTCCAGAAGGCCCCACCACCCTGTGAACTTTTGGAAGAGTCAAGGAGCCTTGGACACCCACTAGGGCTGCAGCCTCTGAGATGGCTGCTCCAGAAGCCCAGAACCCAACTCGCCCTGGGGACGCAACCCAAGAGCCTTGCGGGTCCCAAGGTACTGCCGGGAGGTCCCTGCCTGCCCCTCTGCTTACGCCCAGACCCTTGCCCAGCCAGCAGCTGGCCTTGGCAGCCCTGGCAGTTCACAGGCTCCCCATAGAGTGGGGACAGTGACTTCTGCACCTCCTCAGCAGGAGCTGGTGACACACAGGCTCTGGTCTGCTTAAGGACCTGTAATCATCCTGTCTTTCTCAGTGCTGAGACAGAGGCACAGAGAGGCTGGATCTGAGTACTGAGCAAACCCTTTGGCCTCAGCCCTTCTTTTAAACCTCCTGCCCCTCCCGCTTCTGCTGTTTGTGGCATTCACTGGGGCAGGGCGTGCTTCCCACAAGCCGGCTCTGTCCACCCCCAGGGCTTCTCCTCCCAGATGAAGAAGGTGGCACTGGCCACAGGCACATACCTGTCAGACAAGGATACAGAGCTGCTGCCCAGGACCTGCCACCCTGTCCCTGGGCCAGGCCCAGCTATGGACACGTTTCCTATGTCCCCGGGACTGATGAGCCCAGAAAATCATGACCTGTGGGCGGCGCAGGGGGAAGAGCGCTGCTGCCCCATCCCTGGGCCCAGGTCAGTGCTGTCCACACACAACCTTGCGGTGACCGGAGCCCGGTGACCTCACTATCTTTCAACTACCTCAGGTTCTTTGAGTACAGGCGGAAGTCCCAGGTCTGGGGCAGCTGGACAGTGTCATCTGCAAGGCCTTCCAGACCCTGGACAACAACGAAAGTGGCTCCATTGAATGGAATGAGATCAAGTAAGCCCAGTGGGGAAGGGGCGACTCCACCGCACAGTCCACAATACCTGCCAGGGCCAGGCCACAGTTTCCCCATCTGTAAAGTGGGAAGGGAGCATCTTGGAAGCATCAGGCACTGCCCACAGCTCCCTGATCTGTGCTGCCCTCGGCCAGGTACTTCCTGTCTACCGTCCCCAGTCGCCTGCCCACTGCCCCCGACTGATGAGGAAACTGAAGCCATGATCCAGGTGGCTGGCAAGGATGTAGACAGGAGGATCGACTACGAAGGTAGGGCACATGGTGGGGAGTGGGGAGCCCCACCAGGCCCTGCCCCACAGTGACAGCCCTCGAGGTTTGCTCTGGTGGGGGACAGCGCCTGGTGCATCCCCACTGCCCAGCCTGCCTGCCCCATCACAGCTGCACCCCTGCACACTTGGGCTGGCAAATGCCCCAGACCTCAGCAGGGGCTTAGAGGGCTCAGGACTCAGCCCCCGCCCCTCACCTCAGTTTCCCCACTGAGAAAGGCTGGCCGATCACAGATTTGCTCAGCAAATCTGGTCTGCTGGGAATTCCCAAGGCCTCCGGAGACCTAGGTCACTGGGATCCCGGGCAGGGGCCAGACTGCCAAGGGTCTGCCTCAAGGCAAACAGCAGTCTCTGCCCAATGAGACCTGGGACATTGCCCATCCCTAAACTCACTGCCCAGGGTCAGGGCAGCAGGTGACTGCACCCTGCCTGGTGTGCATACTGTCTGCGGCTGCTGCTGCACTGTGCCTAACTACAAGATCACAGGAAGTAAAAAGGAAGGCAGAGACACCGTGCAACACACAAGAGTACAGAGAGCAGGTGTGGCAAAGCTGCTATCAGATAAAGGAGACTTTAAGGCAAACACAACTGCTCAAATGTGTGTGCATCTAGTAATATGGGTTCAAAATGCAGAAGGTAATTGACAATGTGAAACAGGAAGAAAAAGGCTAAAGGTGTAGGGGAAGTGAAAAGGGTAGAGGAAAGGAATAAGGGAAAAGAAAAAAACGTATGAGAAAATGAAAATAAAGTATTTATAAATAGGGAAGGGAGGAGGGGGTGAAGGGAGGGAAGGGACAAGGGGAAAAATGAGAACCAAGACCTGTCATGTGAAGGTACAAGATCCCAATGATGAAGGGGTGAAGGGGGAAGGGACAAGGGGAAAAATGAGAACCAAGACCTGTCATGTGAAGGTACAAGATCCCAATGATGAATGTGACTGTACTGTATACCTAAATGTACCAATAAACTCAATGAGGAAAAAAGGCAGAAAGTAAAAATGAGCAAACTCAAGCGAGAAAGATGATGTAGAAATATGGCAGATTTTAGCCTTCCCATCTTGAGAACAGTAGAGCAAGCAGGAAAGTCAGTAGGGCTATTGGAGTCAGAAAACAATGAATTACCTGGACCTCTGAGGTCCAGACACCGCCCCGCATCTGACAAGTGCAGAACACAGTCTCTTAAAAGAAGCAAGTGTAGCATTTTCCAAAATAGGCCAGATGCTGGGCCGCAAAACAAGTCTATCCAGTAAAGGACTGAAATATATGGAATGTATCCCGTGACCACAGGGAAGTGGAGTCAGAAATCAAAAACAAAACGATAAGAAAAGCAATGCAGTCTTTAACAGCCCATGGTTCAAGGAAACCACCACAAAAACTAGAAAATATTTTGAACCTAAGGATAAGGAAAATACAACATACCAATCCTCATGGGTGCAGCCTAAATTATTTGAAAGGCCAAAGGGCTGACAATCGATAATCTATGAGTAAGAAACATCAAGGAGTTAGAACAAGAACAGAAAGTTGAACTCAAAGAAAAGAGGGGAGGAAAGAAGGGTGGGAACCCTGACACGTTAAGTCCTCGCTTCCTGTGCTCTCCCCACCCGCCCCCATGCCCCCAGCCCGGCTGGGAGAGGGACAGTGCTGGGAGGGTTGCCTGGCTCCGAGGGCAGAGGCTCTGGGAACCTCACCGAGATGTGGAGAACACTCTATCACCATGGGGAGCCCCAGTGTGTGTCCTGCTGGGTGACCCCAGTTCTGCTTCACCCTGCCCTGCCCTCTCATCCATCAGGGTCGGACGGCCAGAGGCCACAGCGAGATCTGGGTCTTCCTAGAAGCTACTCCCAGAGCCCAGGTCCAGCCCCCTCTTATGGTCCTGCCATCATCAGGAAGCAGAAATGGCACCTCAGTCCCCTTCCCCTGGTCATACTTGATGCCTTCCCCCACTCCGGCCTCTCAGGGATGCATTTCTCATCCAGGCAGGGCATGGATGCTCATGTGGCTTGTGGGCAGGACAGAAACAGCCTAGCCCTGTAATGTCACATGCAGGTTACCATGACAACCAAAACTTGAATTTAAAAATAGCAGAGCTAAGAGATCCGATGGCGGCAGGTGTGGAACGTTAGGCACAGGCCTGTGAGTGCCCGAGTGAATGGATGGACTCAGCAGAGGATGAACAGACAGAAGGAAGGAACAAAGGCCGGGGCGAAGGAAGGAGTGGACAAATCAACAAGGGATGAACAATGGGCAAGCAAGGAAGGGACAAATGGACAAAGCAACAAGTGAATTTAAGAATGAATGGACGGATGAACAAATTACACGGACTCAGGGATGAATGGATGAGCCAGCGTGGGGATAAAGGAATGAACGCAGGAATGAGTGAGCAGGACACCTGCCGGTCAGGAGCCAGGGCTCAGGGACCATCGCCCTGGCTGGGAGCCCTGGGTCCCCGCTGCCTTTGCCTGCATCTGCTCAATACCTCACTTGCAAAAAACCTTAGTTCAGCAGTGAAGTCACTTCCTCTAGCAACATCCAACATCAGAGTCCTATCAGAATACCTTTTGCTACAACATGCAGAAGTACCCGAACAGAAAACCTGTCCCGAGTTCAGCCCCCTTGTCACGGAGCACTTGGTCCCCTTAGGCTGCAGCTGTGGCTGGTGGACGCACTGGGCCAGACCACATCCAGAGCTTCCCCATCTCTGCCAAGATGTGGGACAGGCTTTCGGGACCTCTGGCAGAGGGGAGCAGGCTGCAGGCAGGTGGGAGGGAGGTGACAGCCGGGGCTGGGAGCACGCGCTCACAGCCAGAGCCCTTGCCACGCACATGCACAGGCCACATGCAGTCAGCGCAGTCTGAGTTCACCTTGACTCCGGGGCAGAAGCTGGTGGCCCTGCAGCCTGCGCCCCTGCCATGGACGGACACAACACCACGCACAGTCTCTGGTCACCAAAACCCAGCCTTGATCAGGGATCACGCCGACTCTTCCCCGGGGAGAAGGCTCCATGTCCAGGAGTGACAGGCAGGCACTGGGCAGAGCCATGGCCTAGTTGGAGAGACCTTCAGGACAGGCCCTCAGAGCAGGCCCAGCCGTGGCCAGCAGCTCCTACGCACCCCAGGGTCTTCCTGGGATGCTGGGCACCCAGCTGCAGGTAAGGACACTGAGGCCCGGGAGGAGGGGTCTTCCTGATGGGGAGGGAGGCAGGGTGGGTGTCGGTGGCATCCCAGCTGACCCAAAGCCTGATCCCGTGAGAATGTGGCCATCCTGGAGGACCCTCCTCCCCGGCTCTCTGCCTCCACCTGTGGGGCTGCAGTCTTCACTCTTGCCTGCCAGCGGGCCACCTGGGCAGGTGCAGGGTGCTTGGTGGGCTCTGCGGTGGCGGTGCCACGTGCAAAGGACACACTCTGTGCTGGGGAACAGGCTGTCCTGGGAGGGCCGCCCACTCCCTCCATGTTTCTCCTGCCAGGGGGCACAACAGTGGCCCTGGACTCGGTGAGGCGTGAGAGCTACTGGCCGGCCGCTGGAGACAAAGGGTGCTCTGTGCTCGGACGAGAAGCCAGCTCTGGCTCACAGGGCGAGGCAGGGTGCTGGACAGGGCGCTGTGAAGGGAGGGGCGGGGGCAGAGCCAGCTCTGGGGACCACGCCCACGAGAGAAAGGCAGATCACACAAAACACTGGAAACCATGGCCTCTTTTACTGTGAACACGGCTGCAGGCACTCTGAGCACAGGTGTCCTGAGGGGTGGGCAGAGGCACATCTCAGCCAGCGCTGGCTCCCTGCTGCGCAGCCCGTTTGGTGGGCGTGGCCTGGGCACCACCTCTGGTCTGTCTTCCATTCCGCTGGCAGCATCACTTGGCACTCAGAGGTGGCCGCCTATGCTGCTCCAGGAGCTCCTCCAGGTGGTCAGCCCGCTTCACCGCGGCCTGTGAGCATGCGGGGTCAGGTGCGGGCTGCCCCACCCCAGGCAGGATGGGGGATGGCAAGAGGATGTCTGGGGACCCACCTCATGCTGTCTCCGGAGGCTGCTCACAGCTTCCTCCTTCTTGGCCAGGGCTATCTTCACCCTGCGGCAGAGCACAGTGAGCTTCCACGCAGCGCTCGCTCTGCCCCACGGCAGCCTCCTGCCATGGTCCCTGCTGACCCAGCCGCCAAAGCTGGCCCTGGGCCACTGCCCACCAGAGCCCTCCATAGGAACCTTCGTCCCTGGCCCAGAGTGGGTCACAGGAGCAGCTCAGGTGGGGCCTCGACTGAGATGGGCGGGAAGACCCATGCCCACCTCAGGCCCACAGAACACTGCGGGTGACACAGGAGAGCCAAGGGGACCCTGGGGCACACTGTTACCCTCCCTGGGCTCAGCTCTTCCACTTGAGGCACCTGGGCCTGCTCCCTAGAGAATCATGATGCCACCCGCTCAGCACCCCTGGAGCCCAAGCAGAAAACACAGCATGGGCCGGCTGGGATGCCCACCGCCTTGGAACAAGGTACCACCAGGGGGCCAGCACAGCCTCCTAACCACAAACATGGAACCCATGCCAGCCTTGCCCATGCGTCATCCTGCGTCCCACGTAAGGAGAGAGAGCATCTGACCTAATTGCTCCCCCGCCTACCCCACCCCACAGCCAGCCCAGCCACCCCCAGATGCCCACCTGCGGTGCACCTCATCCAGCTCCAGCTGCTGGCGGGCCTGCAGCTTGGCCAGCTCGGCCTTGACCTGCCGGTTCTCCTCCTCAGAGGCCGCCAGCTGGTCCACAAACTCTTGGCGGACCAGCTGGGTCACGCGGCTGCGCTCGCCGGACAGCTGCGTGTTCACCTGGTGGGCAGGGGAGGCAGTGAGCGAGCCGGCAGCAGGGTGGGGCCGTGACGCAGGAG